GAATGAAGGTGGATTTGTCCTCGTTGCCGTTGCTGGCCGAAAACCAGAAAATTATCTAACAAGTCATCAACGGTTTGAATGACTCTCAGTTGAGCAAAATCGTTGCTCACCCCTATGAATGGTTCAGCACCATTGACGTGGCAGAGTTCTACCTCAACGCCCACATCACCGGCAACGCCATTCACTCTTAAGTTCAGGGCAAGAACTTGAAGATTGACGCTGATACCCTAAACGAGTTCTTCAACATCAAGCTCGATTCTCAGGACATAGACACTCCCACTCTGATTGATCTTGAAAGTGTGGAGGTTTCTGTCCAAGCTTTTGTGGACACCTACTGCCGGCCAGATGCAACCGGAGTAGACAAGCTGTACATGAAGAAGAATATGCTCAAGAAGGACTATGAGAGGTTGATGAGCATCATGCACAGGTGTTTGTGGTGCAAAACTGGCTCTACTGACCAGATGAACAACACTAACTCCAAAGCCATCTATGCTGTTCACCACGGCATGAACATCAACTGGGGGAAGGTACTATACAAACCCCTCACTGAATTTGTTGAGAAGAAGGACAAGAAGACTGGATTGTTTTCTACCAAGATGGGCCATGGTCTTCTGATCGCGAGATTGATCACTAATGCTGAGATAGCCCTACGAGAATCCACCAAAGTTGATCACATGAAGACAATCTTCCTGACTGCATCTCCCAAGATGCACGTTGCCATCTCTGCAGAACTAAAGAGAGAAGAAAAGTGGGAACAAAACAGGGAGAAGTTGGCTGCTAAGTCCAAACCTGCTTCCAAAAAGTCTTCAAAGCAAAAGGAAGTGATCTCTGACAAGCCTAAGAAGGTACAGGCTACGAAATTGAAGAAGAAGGAACTTCAGAAGCTACCTGAGGTCACTCCTGAGAAGGATGCATCAGAAGATGGTACATCAGAGGATACTGCATCAGATGTGGCTCCCAAAGTCACTCCTGTGAAAAAGGCCAACCAGAAGAGGAGAAGAAGAGCTATCATTCAGAGTGATTCTGATAGCTCCAAATCTCCTATCAGAGAGAAGAAGAAGAAAGCTTACTCTCCTCCTAAGGAATCAGAACCTCAGGGGGAACCAGCATCAGAGAAGGCTGATGTCCAGGGGGAACCTGCATCAGAGGTCCAACCATCCTCTGTACCAGACTTGCCAATCACCACCTCTCCACCAGGACACCTAGCTGCTTCTACCCGAGTCCTTGAGGTGGATCCCATCACAGCCCTAGAAAGACAATTTCAAAGGGTACTCACTTGGAGGAAGTGGAGAATGGGTCCCCTGCAGCAGATCCTTGCTCAAGCTACCATTTATGAATCTGAGGAAGTTGAAGTCCTCAAATGGGCAGGTACTGATGATGTCTCCTTATGCTTTGATCTTCAGTTTGTCCAATCTGTTCTTGAGAAAAAGAAGGCAAGTTTCAAAGGCAAGGAGAAGATGACTGCTACCTCATCAGAAGAGCATGTCAAGGCTCTAGGAGAGCATGAGATACCTATTTTTGAAGAATGGCTGATGGAGAAGAAAAGGAAGGAGTCTCTGATCAAGATGAAACCTATTCCAGGTGCAGAGGGAGAACCATCAACTGCCAATGATCTATCTCTGGCGATGGAGAATCTGATCATAGAATGGAGAGCCTCCCAGTTTGAAGAAACTTTACTTGAGGTAATTCCTGACTCTCCTACTCTTCCTATTGCTGCTCAACCCTCTCCCTCTCCCCCAAAATCCCCTTCACCCAAACCAACCACACCCTTATCCACACCACCTGAGAGCCCTCAACCACCTTCAAATTCACCAACTCCCTCACCCAAGAAAACCCCCTCACCTAAACAAACTTCATCCAAACCTGCTTCACCTTGCAAGCAGATAACCCCCACCAGAAATCGCTCACCCTCACCTCCTCCATCTCCTCAACATCAGACCACCCCCGCACAGCAGACCTCACCTCACCAGAGCTCCCCCCATCAGAAATCCAAGTCTACATCTCCTCAGTAGAAGCCATCATCAAAACCCCATTCTCCCCAACACTCTACTGCCTCTACTCCTAAGAGAGAACCTGTTGTGAGGATTCTCTCCTCCTCTGAGGATAATGATGGATTTCTCACATCCTCCTTGGCTGGTGATCTCCAATCCAACAAGAGAAAGACACCAACCCCTCCACCCTCTCCTGCTCCTCAACAGCCTCAAGGAAGTGATATGCATCTGCCAGAGCCTCCCAGAGAAGAAACCTGCATTCCCTTCAATGAGTTTGTTGAATCTGCAGAAGAATTTGGTGATCTATGGCGGATATACGCACTGAGATGAAAGCTATGATGGACGAGAAATTGCAGTTGCTGTTAGGGAAGATGGAACGTCTCGAAGCCAACGGCAGTCACAGCAGGATGAGGGGAAGATCAACCACAAACCGTCGTCGCCATACTTCAGCAAGCATGAGCTCTTCTAGTTCCGAAGGTAAATCTCATGAAACTCATTCAGTTTCACGCGACCCTTATTAGACTAGAATCACCGACCGTGTATATACGGGAAAGAAGGTCGATTTACCACTTTTTAGTGGAGACGATGCTTATGGATGGCTGATTAGGGTTGAACGCTATTTCAAACTCAACCATGTGGCAGAAGAGGATAAAGTAGAAATAATCTTGATAGCCATGGCCGATAAAGCTTTGAACTAGTATCAATGGTGGGAGGAAAAGACATCAGACCATTCTTGGGTTAATTTCAAAGAGGCGTTGATCAGGCGTTTCCAGCCTACCTTAGTACAAAACCTGTTTGGCCCTATGCTCAGTGTTAAGCAAACAACATCGGTAATGGACTATAGAGACCTTTTTGAGATGGTTGTCGCTCCTCTCAAACTGGCTGACCAAGAGATGTTATTAAAAGGGGTATTTCTCAAGGGTCTCAGAGCGGAATTGAAATTATACCAAACCAGTGGGTTAACGGAACTTATGGACATGGCTTTGCTAGTTGAACAGAAGAACAAGGTGTGGACAGGAGAAACAAATAAAGAAGAAGACAACAAAGGTTGGAAGGAACAAGGAGGAAAAATGGTCAGACCCTAGAACTGGGTGGAAGCAACAAAGGGAAGAACAACTGCTCCGGAGAGAACACTCTCAGAGAACAAACAGGAGGAATCCCCTAAACCGAATAAGACATGGGAAAGTGGCCAAAGGTTGACACAAGCGGACTTAGAAGAAAGAAGCAAAAAGGGCCTATGCTTCAAATGTGGAAACAAATGGGGCAAAGAGCACGTTTGTGGAATGAAACATTATCAATTTATTTTGATGGAAGAGCCAGAAGAAGAGAAGGGATCAAAAGATCAGTTACATGAACGGGATGAAGCTGAAAACTTGCTTGAACCTAATGCCAAAGCAGTCTCTTATCATCCACCTTGAGGACAAGGTGGAAGTTCAAGGGGGGAGTGATGTTAGGAACCGGACACTCATTTATTTGGGTCTATAAAGTATTTTAATGTTTTTCAATAATAGGGTTCTAGGCCCAACAACTTAAGTGAGGGCCAATTATAAAAAGGGGGTTAGGGGGAGAATAAACGGAGGCAAATTTTGGGATCGGGACTGGGAAATCGGGAGTGTGAGCCCACTCGAAGAGTCTCAGCCTTTTATTACGTTACTTTTCTGTATTCCACCCTTAAATCTTCATCAATATATTACTTTTTTGACTGGGATTCCTCTGTTACCTATCAAGGACTCATATAAAACATCTCATAACTCCCATAATTAATGCCTCCTATATCCACGGCTCTTCAGTTTAATCCCTCCCGCTGCCAAATATCCATGTGTTCATAGATGGTGGGTGTTCCCTCGCGGGCCATGATCTCCCTATCTAGGCCCAAGTGACATTAGTTATTAATCCTGAATTATGGGCTATGTTTGTAATTTGTAGTTGGGCTATGGTCATAGTCCATAGTACCATCAAGGCTAATAATATAGAAACAATTATGAGTTTGTATTGATCTCTGTTCTATTATTCTATATACTAAGTCCCCATTCTGTTGTCTGAAATCTCCCGGAAGTCTCTGCCTCAGTATCATAGGAGCTTCCATTTACTCATCCAGAGAGGCGAAGGTGACATGTATCCATCATTCGGTTAGAGGAAACAAACGTGTCGCCACTGCACTTCCTTGGCCGATGCGAGTATCTGCCAATTGATACTTCTATCTAGAAAAATGTAGCACGTGCTCAACACATAGTCACTTTTGATGTAGTTTTTGATGAAACAATGTATTTTTTTATGAGATAGAAAAGTGAAAAGAAAGTTTCGAGCTCTCTTACACCTTTTAGTTTTAAAGTGCTTAAATTTAAAAACAAGTCTTAGTTTTTCAAAGCAAAAAATTGAAAAGCAATTAAAGGAGCTTTTTCAAAACTCAATTAATTTGAAAAAATGACACTTCATACCTAAGAGCCTCCGACACCGGCCGGATAGTGATTAAATTGGACTTTAATAACAAATTGACAGATTAGGAAACTTTGGCACAAGTACTTACAAAGATTCTATGCATTTTTTCATAGTAACCTCTCATCGAAGTTGCCACTTGAGCTCCATGAAAACCCATTCCAAGGAAGCACACATGAAAAGGCCCAATTTTGGAAGTGCGGTTTTGGGCAAATACCGGACAGCCCCAATACCATTCCAATTCAGAATCTGGTCCACACCCACACAAACATTAGGATGGCTACTCTGGAGGATTGTGCTACAATATGAAAACTTGCAAGTACGGGACCTATATATGCATACCACAAACCTTTATATTTACCCATCTTTGTGCATGTGTGTTTGTGTGTGTCACTTGAGTGGCTTCTATACTCGTGATGGTATAGAAACACAGCAGCAGCACTGGAGTAACCAACAGTGCACTCTTGTGATACTAACACAGCGGCACCAACCATTGGACTTACTTGCCCCAATCATCAATTGTATTGTAAGTAGTATAACAAAAGTCAGTCTGCAAGAAAGTGATTAACGCACCTTACCAATTGCAATATCTTTATTTGAAGGTCTCATACAAATTCTGTAATAAGCCCCTAGAACCCCCCACACCTAAGGTTCTCAGCCAGATAATAACCACAACAACTAGGCAGACAGGCAGACAAAGTACATAATTCCTTTCTCTCTAGTCTGATTAAATCAAAGAAAAATGCAATGCAAATAAAGTGCAGCATTTCCTCCTCTCTAGTCAGATTAAAACAAAGCACGATGCAATGCAATGACTTGAGGCCAACATAAATTTGTGCCTAAGAAGACAGATGATCAGCACCATCATCAGATGATCAGTTTGAATTGACGTTTACGTCACTCACACTCTTAGAATCTGAAGCTTGTTAGAGAAGGCAATAGCAACCCAATCAGGCTGGGATGAAGACCACTGAAGCTGTTCAATCTCAGCACCAGCGGTATAAGCCAGGATTGGATCCAACCCCCCCTCTGCAATTGGCGGACCCATGGAGGACAGGTCCCAGATGAGTGCCTGGGAGTCATCGCCAGCTGTGCAGATGTGGCATGAGCTGTGCGGCGCCCACGCAATGGCATTCACGCCAGCCTGGTGCCTCTGCAGCTCCACCACTGGCAGCGTTGGGAATCTGATGTCAAGCACCACGACCTTGGAGCTGTCCATGATGATGGTGGCCATGTACCTGGGGTCCTGTTTGTTCCAACCCAGGCGGACGAGAGGTGTGTCCGGCTCGGAGCTCTCGTATATGATGGTGGAGTGCTCCTTGTCGCGGAGGTCAAACACTCTAACGGAGCCGTCGGCGGAGACAGATGCGAACACGCCGACCCCTCCCCAGGCGATGTCGTACACCTCCTTGTCGTGCGCGATGAGTTGGGTGTCTACTGTCTCCCTATCGATGTCCCATATGGTGCAGGTGGTGTCGATGCTGGAAGTGCCTATCCGCTTAGGCTCCGCCTCGTTCCAGTCGAAGGAGGTCAATGGACCGGAAAACTCGCTGTTGCGATTGTTATTGAGGACGCTTTTGCTCTCAACGCGCGAGCCGTCTTCGGCGACACGCCAGATCCGTAGGTAGTCGCTGGAGGTGGCGAGGAGGTCAGGCTTCTGGCATTCCTTGTCGGGGATGAAAATGGCTTTAGTGGGAGGGTAGGGGTGCTCGAAGGAGAGGTTAGGATCGGAGCGGATCTCTCCGTTGGAGTCGTCCAGCTGTACAATCTCGACGCGGTTGGGGTACTGTTCCAGCAGGCTGGCAATGGCGAGTCGGTAGTTCTTATCCTTCCGCACGCTCCAATTCATTGCATAGATGTGCCATGGTGCCTCGTATGTGTATATCTCCGCACGCCTCTGCTGTTCGTCCGACCCGTCCTGAACAGGAAGATGATCGCTGCTCGCCCCCATATCGTCTTCTATCTCAACCCCACAAACCCTACCCTCGCTTCTTCTATTTCCGATTGGCAATTCCGGTTTGCCACCGCTACACAGGTTTGGCAAATTATATCCTACCCCGTGATACTCTTCTCTGTCCACGGCTTAAAAAAACAATTTGGGAAATGGGGCAAATAAGCCTTTGAATTAACAAAAAAAAAAAAGTGCAAATCACCCTTTATATAGGAGGTTCTGTCCGTCTGTCGTCATTTGGAATTTTTTGATAAATGTTTTTGAGTATCTTCTTCATTAAGTCTAGTTTACCCATACCAAATTTCAGCCAAAAATAAAACCAGGAAGACAGTCAAATTATTTTCTGAAATATGCTGCGTTGTTTAACTACGCATTTATCTTCAAAATTCATTTGACTGCCTTCCCGATTGAATTTTTATTTGAAATTTGGTATGGGTAAACTAGACTTATTGAAGAAGATGCTCAAAAAATTGCATCAAAAAATTCTACCAGGAACCTCTCCAAATGACGACAGCCAGACAGAACCTCCTATATAAGGAATGATTTGCACTTTTTTGGTTAGTTCGAGGGTTTATTTACCCCTTTTCCCAAACAATTTTGATCTTTGTACACACCAATGTACAAATACCCCAAAAAAAATCACCCCCTCTTTTCCCCTCACCTCACACCCGCGTATCTCACTCGCTCCCCCTCCCCTTTCTTGAAAATCAAAACATCCGCCTCCTTCTCTCCCAAATCGAAACTCATCTCCCCCATACTTCTCTCCCACATCCTCACGACCACTGTGCGTTTGAGGTGTTAACCGACATCCCCGCGACCACTCTCCTCTTCGAAGCCGTTCTCCACCTCTGCAGATTCGAACCCCTTCTCTAAGTGTGGGCGATTCGAGGGTTTAGAAGCGACGAAACCCCTTCTTTGCGCACAACTTTAGGACGACGAAACACCACTGGAGATGGCGGACGGGTATGTATCATTTCCCAACCTTTGTTTCTTTTTTGGGTAATTTTTTAATTTATTGGGTTTTTAGCATTTCGAACATGGGTCTGTGGGTATGTGAAGTATGTGACACACACCAATGCTTTATTTCTGGTTTTAAGACTGAGAATATGTGAAGTATTGTCTGTGAATCAACATTTATATATCATATGGTATGCTTCCTTTGTTGATGTTCATAAGGTGTGTGTGTGGTGGTGAAATCTTCATTGGGTGTTAATTGTTGTCTTTCAATGAAACTGTGTCTATGAAATAGTCTAATTCCTATGTTCATGTTTCACATTGTCTGTGTGGTGGTGCAAAGTTGATTTGGTGTTAATTAGTGTATGTCCATGATATAGTTGTCTGTGTGGTGGTGTGAAGTTGATTTGGAGTGTTATTTATTGTCTGTGAATCAATTTGTGTGTATTATATAGTGTAGTTCCTTTGTAAACGTTTACAAGTTATATGTGTTCTTTATTGTGTATTATATTATTGTCTGTGTATTATATTATTGTCTATGAATCAAATTAGGAGTGTTATTTATTGTGTGTTTGTACTGTTTTGGTCTATGAAGGTCTGTTTTGTCTGTCTACCATAAGTTTATTTATGTTTGTCCAACTGCCAGGGCCCTGAAGTAATGCATTCCAAGTCATGAATATTTCCCTGCGCAGTATTCCGTATGTTCAGACTTCAGAAATGCAGCAAAGTGGGTACTAAACAAATTATCTCCAACACAAATGGAAAGGTTTCGCGATTTACCATGGGGGCATCTGATTGACATCCCAAACACTGGCAACTCTGGCCAAATCTTGCACATGCTGGCCTTACACCTTGTGCAGGACCAACCAGATGATGAGTTGTGGTTTGCTATTGGGGGGAAACTGTATAAGTTCACCTATGTGGATTTTTGCCACATAAGTGGATTACCACTAGGTGCCGAACCAGAACCTGCCACGCCCGAGGATGAAGATTCTGGAGATGATTCAGGACACCAATCTGGCCAAGAAGATGAACCAGTAGGGGCCCTTGCTGAGAAGTACTTAGGTGGCAAAGTTAACATTACCCACGCAAATATGAAGAACATCTTTAAAAAGCTGAACCCATCCAAACGTGGTGATGATGCTGTGAAGTTGGCCTCCTTGTTCTATATTGAGTGTGTTCTACTTGCAAAGGACAATAGTACGAGGATAAATGAATCATTAGTCAGATTAATCATCAGTCAGATTGGTCAATGATTTAGAGGCATTCAGGCAGTGTCAGTGGTCACTTCGTTCTTACAAGATATTGGTGAAACATATGAAGGACCTGATGCATGACCAAACTCAGAAGTTCAAGGAGCGGAAGCAGAACAATCCTAAGTATAAGAATGCAAAGTTATCTGTTTACGGTTTTCCACTAGTGTTGCAAGTATATATGACAACTTCCCTATTCTACTTATTTTTTGTTTATATATAGGTGGATCTTTTATTAAATAACTCATATGAATATAATTTTCCTATGCCCTATATACGTGGATTTTAAGTCACTAACAATGTGTACAGGTCATTACATTTTAAAATACAGGAGAATAGGTAGATTACAGAGGGTTCTTAAGAGCATAAAGTGAAGATAAAAGCAATCACCGCTGGTGATGAAAATCCATATCTTCAAATGAATAAGTTGTTCTTCTGCCCGGACATATAATCAACTCTCATCTGCACCATTATAAACCTTATATTAAATAGTTACTAACTTATTATTGAACTAGATTTATTATTTAGTAGTTAACTTGAGCCAAATATACACGTCCATTCTTATTTCGTGAACAAAATTGTATTTCGTGTTTATTCTTATTTTTATAGGTGTGGGCGTACGAAGAAATTCCTGATCTTGGTACGAACTTTTCAAACAAAGTAGCTAATCATGACGTGCCTTTGCTGAATTGGACGGCTTTACGGAAATTTCATTACTCCAAGCTGAGACGACTGATTTTTCCAGAGGTATGTTGCATTGATTAAGTTAATTTAAAATAGCCTATATTTTACTAATTTTTATTTATCCTAGGGGGAGGAAAATGTTTCTGATTCAGAGGAGGGAGAGGAAGAAGATGAAACAATTGAGGAAGACATTCGCATTTTCCAGAAACTTAAAATATTGGAGGAGATGCGGGACCTACGGCTATGTGTTGAAAGGGTGGAAAATAAGATTACTTCTGTCGAAGATAGTATTTCAGAAATAAAGGTACTACTTCAGAAGCTGCTTGCCAATAAGAACCCATCGGTTGAGCAAGAGGTATGCACTTGTCTGTGTCATTTACGGGCCATTTACATTAACTACGCAACTAACACTATCAACTATCTGCAATGTATGTTGAAAAGGTTGATAATGATGATGTGGTTGTTCAGGATGAAGCTGGGGTTGACGCTAAGGATGAGAAGATAGTACAAACTGCTGACAGTGAAGATGTCGCCGTTATTCATGATGATGCCGGTGAGGGTGAGGGTCAGGCTGCCGCTGCAGATGTGCCTATGAAGACTGCGGGTGTAAATGAAGAAGCTGCCGCTGCAGATGGTGATGGGGTGGCACACCGGCAGTTATCTTTGACAGCAGATTTAACCGCTCATGAAGATGGTGTTAATAAGGAAGGTGGGGAAGCTGGCAGACAGGCAGATTTCATCATCTCAATTGTGGTTACTGAGGTATGGTTGTTCATGTATTTTTGTTATTTTTGGTGTAGAATGAGAAATGAAGTACTTATTTAATTGATAGGTGAATTGGGAAATTGAGCAGAATAAGGAAGGCAGCACCTTCCCAGATGTTATGATTTGTTTAAACGAGGTAAAGATGTGTTGTTCAGTTTGTATTATCTTTGTATTAATGTCAATGTTGGTGTGCACATAAGTGTTCATTCCAATGACATGAGTAGCAAATGCATTTTAAGTTATGGAAGATAAACTCGTGTTCATTCCAATGGTGTGCATGCATTTAATCTGAATGAATATATACAAATCAATAGAAGTAGCAAAACTGAAATTTCATGCACTACTTCTATATTTATACTAAATAGTCCTTAATAATTTGAATGTTTGTCTGTGTGTAACAAAAATTGCCTGTGTTGCTTATAGGACTCTCAGTAGGTGGAGGACAAATTACCTCTGTTATCAGCACCCGGTCCTTTTGAAAATTTGGATTGGGATGTTGATGATGTTGGGAGTGAACCGATTGATGTTGAAACCGTTGAAGTTGTGACCACGAAACTACGACATAAGAGAAGACGGTGCCGTACAAACTTCAAATGCTCACCATAGGTGCACCCCATTCTCTCAATCCAACTTGCTCTGTTTCACCCAACCGATGATGATATTGCATCTCTGAAGGACTGGATTGAAGAACCTGACAATGTTGAACCCAAAACGGTTGTTCTGAATCTGCCTTCATTTGATGAAGTGGACAGGGAGTTTTTCCGTGAGCTTGTTCTGCCAAAAGAGACTATATGGTCCTATGTGAGTGCCTTATTTTTTTCAAATATTAACATGATTATTTATATGTCTCAGTGTCTCACGCTCTTTTTTCTTAGCACATGGATGCTCTATCGTACCTGCTTCTTAAAGATTGTAAGTCAGAGATGCCGTATAAGCTAATAAACCCTTACTTTACGGTATGTGTTGTTTATCTTTACGTGCTTCTATGTGTTGCATCTAAAAGATTGTATGTCTCACCCTTAGTTTTTTTGTGCAGCAACAACTGTTGAATAAGGATACTAAAGATGAGAACGTCTGGACTGGTGATAGGTCTCTACCAGCTGTGGACTGGAGAGGTTTGGACAAGGTAAGTGCTTAAACTATTTTATTTAACTGTTAATTGTTTGTGTATGTTTTTTTTTTGTTTGTAGACAAACCAAGTGCTTAAGTATTATTTCTTTTTTATTGTGTTAAGGTTTTCGTACCTCTGAATGTTGTTGGGATGCATTGGGTTTTAGCGGAAATTGACCTACATGCCAAATTTGTGCGCTGTCACTACTTTAAGGATATTGTGAACAATTTTGTCTAATAGTTTAGCTTGAGTACAAAGATGTAGTCTAAGGGAGAATTTTCTTGGTATATTCTGTCTGTTCTGTGAATATCCCTTTAACTACCTATGCATGCTAATTGTTTTAATTCCGTGTGGTGATTATCGTAAGTCCCGTTGTTCAGTTTGCTTGATGACAAACAAAGGATTAAGTGTGGGGGAATCTGATAAGTCCGTATTTAGACACACATTTGATGCGTGTTGAGATCGGCTTTTGATGATTTTCCTAGCTTTAAGGTGTTACAAGTCTCAATTTTAGCTCAAGTTATGTTTACCAGGCGTTGGTTCGAGTTTTGTGTCATTTGGAGTCAAAGTCAGGAATTTAGAGTTCGGCAGCGGCAATTGAGAAGAAATCGAGATGATTCGAGATGCATTCGAAAGTGGATTGAGAGATTTGGAGGTCACCGGAAGGTTCACGATGAAGATTTGATGACAAAAGAGCTCTACGTGCGTGCATGCGTGTGTGCGTGCGTGCGTGCATGCGTGTGGGCGTGCGGGCGTGGGCGGGCGGCCAGGTGGGCGGGTGTGGGTGTGGGTGGGTGTGTGGGGTGGGCAAGTGTGGGCGTGGGGGCGTGCGGGCATGCGTGTGGGCGTGTGGGCGTGCGCTCGTGTGTGCGTGCGTGTGGGCGTGCGTGGGTGCGTCCGTGCGTGTGTATGGGTGTGCGTGCGTGCAGGCATGGGCGGGCGGGCGTGCGTGCGGACGTTCGTGCGGACATGCGTACGGGCGTGCGGGCGTGTGTGTGTGTGGGCTTGCGTGTGTGTGTGCATGTGGGCGTGCATGTGTGCGTGCGTATGGGCGTGCGTGTGGGCGTGCGTGTGGGCGTGTGGGCGGGCGTGCGTGGGGGCGTGCGTGGGGGCGTGTGGGCGTGCCTGCGTGCGGGCGTGCGTGTGGGCATGCGTGTGGGCGTGCGAGGGTGTGTGTGGGTGTGTGGGGTGGGCATGTGTGGGCGTGCATGTGGGCGTATGTGGGTGCGTGTGTGCGTATGTGGGTGTGTGTGTGCGTGTGGGGGGGGGCTTGCGTGCGTGCGTGTGCGTGTGCGCGTGTGTGTGTGGGCTTGCGTGCGTGAGGGCGTGCGTGTGTGTGCGTATGTGGGTGCGTGCGTGCGTGCCTATGGGCGTGTGTGCGGGTGTGTGGGCGTGTGTGTGTGTGTGTGTGTGTGTGTGCGGGCTTGCGAGTGTGCGGGCGTGCGTGCGTGTGGACTTGCGTGCGGGCGTGCGTGTGTGGGCTTGCGTGTGTGTGTGCATGTGGGCATGCGTGTGTGCGTGCGTATAGGCGTGCGTGGGGGCGGTGCGTGGGGGGCGTGCGGGCGTGCGGGCGTGCGGGAGTCCGTGTAGGCATGCGTGCGTGCGGGCGTGTGTGTGGGTTTGCGTGCGTGTGTGCAGGCATGGGCGGGCGGGCGGGCGTGTGTGTGCGCCTGCGGGCGTGCGGGCGAGTGTGCGTGCGTGCCTGCGTGTGCGTGTGTGGGCTTGCGTGCGTGCGTGTGGCCGTGCGTGCGTGCGGGAGTGTGGGCGTGCGTGCTGGCGTGCATGCGGGCGTGCGAGCGAGCGGGCGTGTGTGCGTGCGTGTGCGTGCGTGGGGCGTGCGTTGTGGGCGTGTGTGCGTGTGTGCGGGCGTGTGTGTGTGCGTGCGTGTGTGTTTGGGCGTGCGTGCGTGCGTGTGGGCGTGCGTGCGTGCGTGCGTGCGTGTGTGCGTGCGTGTGTGCGGGCGTGGGCAGGCGGGCGGGCGGGGCGTGTGTGTGTGTGTATGTGTGTGTGTGTGGGCGTGCGTGGGTGCGTCCGTGCGTGTGTATGGGTGTGTGCGCGTGCGCGTGCGTGCAGGTGTAGGCATGCGGCGTGCGTGCGTGCGTGCTTGGGTGTGTGTGTATGTGTGTGGGTGTGTGGGCGTGTGGGCGTGCGTGCGTGCGTGCGGCCGTGTGTGCGTGCGTGCGGCCGTCTGTGCGTGTGTGTGTGTGCGTGTGTGCGTGCGTGTAGGTGTGTGTGTGGGGGGGGTGTGGGCGTGCGTGGGTGCATCCGTGCGTGCGTGCGTGCTTGGGTGTGTGTGTATGTGTGTGGGCGTGTGGGCGTGCGTGCGTGCGTGCGTGCGTGCGGCCGTGTGTGCGTGCGTGCGGCCGTCTGTGCGTGTGTGCGTGCGTGCGTGCGTGCGTGTGGGTGTGTGTGTGTGGGGGTGTGTGGGCGTGCGTGGGTGCATCCGTGCGTGTGTCTGGGTGTGTGTGCGTGCGTACAGGCGTGGGCGTGCGTGCGTGCTTGGGTGTGTGTGTATGTGTGTGGGTGTGTGGGCGTGTGTAGGTGCGTGCGTGCGTGTGGCCGTGCGGACGTGCGTGGGTGTGGGCGTGTGTGTGTGTGCGTGCGTGGGTGTGTGTGTGTGTTTGTGCGGGCGTGCGTGGGTGCGTGCGTGGGTGCGCGCGCGTGCGTGAGTGTGCTAGCGGGCGTGC